TTACTTGACTTCTTGATAACTTAATTTGAAGGTAAAATAACTTCATTTCATAATATAAGGGCACTGAAAATCTTTTATTGCGTCAATTTCTTTGAGATGGTGCCTGAAAATTGCACCACAAAAATGCATGAAAGGGACAAATTTAAATGAAATTTTTTGGTCAAAAAACTGCACCACAGTGGGCATACAAAAAATTTCTGGTGTATTTGTTTTTTTCAAGCTGGTTCATGGAAGGTTAAAAAAAGCGGGTAAATTTAAGGTTGGAAAAATTTATCTTCGTGATGGTAAATCGAAGAAAAAGCTTTTTTTTAATATTTCTGGTGTAAAAATATCATCAGGGTGGTGCATGGAGGGACTAAACAAAATGAAAAATGGAAAAATTGAATCACGCTAAAAAATTGGAGGTGTACATTTAACTGAACATTTCTGGTGAAAAGTTCGCTTCACTGTGGTGAATGTACACGCAAACTAAAAATTTATTACAATGAATGTTAGTTCCATTTCCTATCATCCTCTGTTCATGAACATCGCAGCGAATGTTAGAAGTTGACCTTGCAGGCGATGTAATGGTTTTTTGCCTTTTTTATTTCGTGTTCTGCCTGTGCTTTCATCTACACAAGCAAGCATTTGCCTTGATTTTTATGTATAACATGGCAGAACGACGCACACACTTGCCTCGAATCCCTCCAGCAGAAAAAGCATACGAAGTCTAGTGTGAGAGGAAATGAGCGCTTCTTGTTTGCTTTTAGGCTATCCATATTCAGAGGCATGGAAAGAGCAGTGGAGAAAGTACAGGTCTGATAATCACAACGTTCGTGGTTCGAGTCCCAGTCGGCAACCTTTTTCCATTTTTTTTCGACATAATTTATTTCACTCACTAATACACTCCACATTTTTCGGTCTCCAATTCTCTTGCATTGGACCGCAGCTAGGTATATTGCATCCTCGGTTCATGCGGTCTCCACTTACATCCTCTGATGATGAATCCCACATAATTGTAAGCGAATCTTACATCCACCGGTTGGGTGTAGAAGCGAGATTTATTCGTTTTTCTGGTGCATAATTTGCATCGTTCTGATGAATGCAAGCTTCATTAAAAATTTATGGTGGAAAATTTGCAGCATTCTGGTGCAAGAAGAGGCAAAACCTGAAAATTGTACCACAAAGGTACATGGTGAAACAAACTTCACTGTCAATTTTTGGTGCACCGTTCTGGTGAATGGAGGAGCATGCTTTGTTGAAAATTTCGGGTACAAAATTTTCATCGCTATGGTAAATAAAATGAACGAAATCTGGTGGAAAACTAGCACTGGTCTGGTAAATTAAGGCACAAGCTTTATTAAAAAAAAAGATATATTGAAAATGTCTGGTAGAAAATCTGCACTATTCTGGTGAACGGGAAGAGCAAGCTTTTTGGAAAATTTTTGGTCTTATATTTGCATCCAAAATTTTTGGTCTTAAATATGCTGAATTGAGAAACAAACTTTATTGACAATTTCTGGTGTAAAATTTGCACCATTCTGATGATTGGAGGGAAGCTGCTTTACTGAAAACTTTATGATGAAAAATCTGAAAATAGGGGCAAGCTTTACTTGGTGAAAAACCTGAAACATTCTGATGATAGGAGAAGCAAACTATATTGAAAATGTCTTGTGTAAAATGGAAGAAGGAAATATGCACTTATCAGAAGATTGGAGAAGCAATTTTTATTGAACATTAACGGCGGAAAATTTGAATCGTTCTGATCAATTTAAATTTTCTGGCGTAAAATTTTATGGGGCAAGTTTGTATTGAAAATTTTTGGTGTAAGATTTGCAACAATCGGCTGCATGTAGAGGTAAGCTGATTTGAAATTTTGAATGAAATTCCAAAGGGATGTTGAAACAAATTTCAAGGGAATTCCGAGGATAATTTCAAGCTCATTATGGGAAGAAATCCTGGAGGATGCAGAGAAAATTCTTATAAAACTTTAGGGGAATTTCAGTTCCAAGGTGTTCTGAGAAAAAAAAGTTTTAAAATGTTCCGAGAAGAACCTCAAAAATATTGAATTCTTATGGCAGTTCCAAAATATTGCTGGGGAGAATTCAAAGAAAATTCTGCGGATAATTTCTAGTACATCTTGCAGATAGTTCCAAGATAATTTAAAAAAAAAATCCGAGAAAATCAAATGTTGAGTGAAATTCCAAAGGGATTTTAAGCAAAATTTCAAGTGAATTCCAAGGATGATTTCTAGCTCATTAAGTTCTAAGGTGTTTTGAGAAAAAATCATGAAGAGTTCTCAATATAATTTTAGTGGACTTCTGAGAAGAATTTCAAAAGAGCTCTTATGAGCGTTCTAAAAAAAATCCGAGAAGAACCTCAAGGATATTGAATTCTGAGGACAGTTTCAACGGATTTCTGAGGAGTATTTCAAGAGAAATCTGCGTATAATTTCTAGTGAATCTTGTGTTCCAAAATAATTCCGAAAAGAATACCGAGAAAATTAAATTTTGAGTGAAATTCTAAAGGGATTTTGAGAAAAATTTCAAAGGAGTACCGATAATTTCTAGCTCATTTCAGGAATATTTTTTTTTAGGAAATTCTTTTGAAACTCTAAGGAAATTTCAGTTCCAAGGTGTTCTGAGTAAAAGTCAAGAAGAGTTCTAAAAATAATTCCAGAGGACTTCTGAGGCTGAACTTTTTCGCAACTGTACAAAGTTTCAATACAGCTTTTGGATTCCATTATTGAAAAGTGGGTATTAGATTGCCATTGAACCTTGATATATTGTTGTCTTACTAAAAATTTGTCTAAGAATCTTCTCCGAAAAAAAAAGTCATTGTAAAAAAGTTACAGCTGTTTATGTGCGTTACAATAAATTCGGGTTTGTCCTTTATATCATCTTTAAAACATGTTGAATTTTCGGCATAATTTTCTGTCACCGGTACTGGTGGTACTTTGGGACGGTTCATCATCGACATTATCGATGGGATTAAATTGCCAATTTCCATTGGCTGTCTGAAAGCAGTTTGCCTTGAAGAAGATGAACCACCACCGGAGCAAAAAATAAACAAAATTAGCTAAATTAAACATTAGGGAAACAGTGGTGGGTGGACAACACCATCTCCAACGCACTTTGAAGTACTCCCCATCCCAAGATTAATTGCACCATAGAAAAAAAAAATTGCCCCTACTTAACAAGATTCCTGTGCTAGTGGGCTAGTGGGCAAGTGGGCTCGACAATCGAACGCGTGAATCAGGTGAAAAACTTGGGTGCGATCTTGGATTCGCAGCTATCATTCAAACAACACTTTGCATATGTTGTCGATAAGGTGTCTAGAACTTTAGGGTTCATTTTCAGGATAGCAAAAACTTCACCGACATCTACTGTCTAAAATCTCTCTTTTATTCGCTCGTTCAATCGACGCTTGAGTATTGTTCAGCGGTTTGGAACCCAAACTACAATCAAGGTTGCCGAGAGAATCGAATCTTTTCATCGTCGGCTGCCTTTACGTCGCACAAATTACAGAGCAAACGTTGCGATTTGCGGGCTGCAGTTAGTGTTCAACAGAGTTACATCTGTCTTCGACTTGCATCTCGACTTTCATCTGTTTGTCTTACTCTGAGACAATCACACACTTTACAACCTCTTTTTGTAACTGACAAGAACAAAATATCATTATAACACCACAGCGGCGCCGGTGATGTAGTGGTATGCGTGATTTTCTGAGGCATAACATCTCTGATCACGCCTTCCTTCGGAAGGGAAGTAAACCCGTTGCTACCCGGTTCATAAGTAGTTGGGTTGATAGACAGGGTCCAGGTGTGTGAGTAGCCTCCCTGGCTTCGGTTGCATTGGTTCTCAGTACGGAAAACAAGATCGACGGAAAACTAATCAAGGGAAAAAAATTACAAAACACAGATTCATTTAAATGACAGCTTTTGGAGTTATTAATTTTGTTCCGCTAGATTGCATTCTTGGACCACTGTGTGATATGGTAGGAAAGATAATCTGGTTTATCGGTAAAAATTGATCAACTTCTCCCTGTCTTACGGTACTTAAAAACATGCTGCACAAAGTGGCAACGGTTGAAACACGTAAAATGATGTTCAACGTTTTTGGAAACTGTTTAAACATTAGCATAATTAAGAGTTTGATTTTTTTTCAAAAATCAACCAGAAAGCAATTTTCTCTTTTCAGAGGCATAATATGATAAATGGATAATTTTTCTCAAAATTTTAGTTCCTTGTATTCAATACTGATTAGTTCATAAATGATGATCTCACAGTTCAAATATGTTTGGCATGTTTAAAATAATTTAATCAAAATGTGTTTTTAACGTATTTTTGTTTGTTAAAAGAGTTGTCGAATCTTGTGAGATCCGATCATATAATCTAAGGAGAAATGAAAATTCAAGTTGCTATGAACACATTAGTGATGAAACCTAACGGGACTTTTTCAAAGCCTTAATTAATAGTTTTATTTATTTCATTTTAGAGCAAATTTGTTAAATTTTGGTCCAACCAATTTTGGATTGGTTTTGTTCTAATTTTACTCCAAATCAGTTATTATTACTTTATTGCATCAACGCATAATATCACTCAAAACAGCAGCAAATAATTTTGGCCAGGTTAGTTACTCTTCTCAGCAACGTTCTGACCGGTCAACTGCTTTTTAGTTAGTACGTCACCCGTAGGCAGCCGAGAAAACCCCCAACGAGCAAATTAAATGATAGGTATGATTGTGCTATTCCATATTGTTGGAAATGACCAATGGTTGAACCGATACCGGAAGTCATCTGAATATTTGAATAGAATGTTTCCATAGCTCAGTGACTATAACGTCAACTGAACACCTCAGTTCTTGAGTTGTAGGACAGTTAGCTTTCACTCCTCTTCATAACAACTTAATTGCATAGTGTACAGAACACATCATCAAGGCTTCCCCTTGTTGCCAGGAGAATCATTGCCTCATGAATAACCGATTCTTGATTGGAAACAATACTGTCATGTGTATACCTACCTCTATAAGTATGCTGCACAATCCAATTATTCCAAACAATCAAACAAAACTGCACTCATCAAAGCGTGTCGTCACTTAATACTTTCCCAAAAGCACCGTTATTGTATGATTTCCTCACCCTCCTACCACTCAGCTTTACATACACACACAGACATACACACTCACCCTCACTGGTGTACTCTTTCGTAAACAATCCTAGCGGGTGGCGGAATTGCATGTGGTATCGTGTAGAGCATCACACATTTTCCACTTCGCTTCCGCCTCGTGCATTTACCATCAATTCCCCACTCGGGAGACACGGGAAGCACACACTTTATCCGGTGCTTTCAGCTCTTCTTCGCCTATTTACCAGCTTCCGGATCCGATTCTCTGGGAAAACTTGCACAAACACACACAATTTCTCTCTCTCTCTTTCCAGCCGACTCGGTGCTAAATTGCGTTATCTTCACTTCGTCATTTGCACTCTGTCTCAGCTCAGGAATTGGCGCACGGCTGGTCGTGTCCGTCCATCCGTCCAACGATTGACCCCTTTTGTGATGGGCTAGACTAGGCACCCTAGGAACTACTAGCGTTCTACTGGCCTTGCATATTTACGGCAAACTTCCCGGGAAAGAACACCCCCTTCCGAACAAAAAACACTGTGGGTTCACTGGCTAGTAAATAATGTAGTAATCCTTGGAGACAGCTGAAGCAAAAAATATTGTAATGTTTCTTCACCCTCCTCAAGCTCGTGTATCCGTTAGTATTCTTTGTCGTTTTCTCGATTCACTTTGATCCTTCCTGCGGCTGCTACAGTTTCTTCGATCCCACGCTAGGAAGCTTGGAACTGGGTGGGAGGGAGTAACTGTATCCGGAAAAGCAAGCAGCTACTATTCAGCAAAATGTACCACACAATTATCTTTTTTTCTGTTTCAACCATCCGAGAATGTGTTCTAGACGTTAAGCAAGATCACTCAACACTGACGAGTTTTCGCTGAATGAGCACTATTTATCAACATTCGAGGACGGGGGACGAACCTCGCAGGTGAATCAATTGCTGCCCCTCTCAAACACCAACAGACTAAAACTCATAGCTCCACACGATATGATATTCCGATGATGTTGACGACGATGATGATGATGATGATGCGATGCTCAATGGAGTTCGACAACAGCTGCTAGCTATGTCGGGATGCTGCTGATGCTGTTGCTCCTGTGCTAGATACACTGACCTAGCACGGAACGTGGCGCCTTCCGCGGGGGTAGTGCTCGAAAAACACGTCCAAATCGTACCGAGTCCTCACGGCAACTGTTTGGGCTGCAAGGATAACACAGAGCGAGTGCTCTCGGATCGCCCGCCACACGTCAGCTGGAACCAGCCGCCGGAGAAGGATGACGAGAAGATGAGATGCTGCTCTCTTATGTGTATGTGGAGAAGTCCTCCCAGTTTTGGGCTGTCGATGAATCTATGCTCCTGGAATATCCTTGCTCGGCAGTCGTGGAATCGATCCGTAGAAAACGTAATATCAAGTGGTTGCTAAAAAACGATCATAACCAGCGTTGTAAGCGGTCCCAGTAGTCGACGTATTTTCTGTGATAATCTGTTACCTTTCTTTCTCACTCTCGCAACACAAGCAATCAAAATACAGGACCAAACTAAAATGTCATATGATATGGCTCTCGAACGACTGTGCCACCGAAAAACGTCACGCAGTCGGTTTTTCTTTTCTTATTATGATAGCTGCTCATGCCGTGCTTGTGACAATTCTCAATATAATATGCAACGATTACCAAGTGGAAACATTTCTGATCAGAAGATATACAAAATAGGGGAATTCTAGATGAACATTTCAAGAGGTCCTATCTGCATTCATCGATTCTCTTCATCGACTTTCTCTTTCGTAATAACTCAGCTGTAAAAACATACCCTGTTGTGTTTGACGTTTTTGATGCTCAATAAGAATCTTCTTTATCAAATTAAATGGCAAACATAGCACGAAATCCGTTTACATAGCTGTGGTTATCAACAGAGAAAGTCGACGAAGAGAAACGATCAAAGCTGATAGGACCTCTTGAAATGTTTATCTAGAATTAGAACGAAGTGAAGCTGGCGATATTATAGTTATTTGACAGTTTTCCTTTTACGCTAATGCTGTTTCAGCTTCAGTTTTCGTGCTGCGTAAGAGAAGTGATGGTAGAGCGTGAGTGTACGAAAATAAACATACTGTAGCCCACGACAACGAAGCGAATTGTAACAAATGCCCGGCTGGCCTACACTACATGCCAAGGGAGTTTCAAAAAGAGTGACTTTTCCCTCAGACTATATTTATTTATTTTTTACCACTCATCTCTAGGGTTGGCACGCTTATCCCTTAATATTCCGCGGATGAGGAGAATGCTCGGATTGCCATTTAAACAACTCTTTACTTCAGTGTACTTATTTTCTCCGCTCACTTTCTTAAGCTTTCTTAAGATACGTCCATTTGAAACAGCAATCGAGATTTGCTGCCGATTATTTTTAAGGTGCAGGTATTAAGGCCTTATTTTTTATGAATTCTAACTTCACTTAGAAAAATTAAGAGTACACATGTCAGCTTCAACAATAACACTATGAAATTGATCCCACCTACCTACCTACCTGTTGAACGACGACTCGTTGAATTCAAATCTGCGCCGAACGAAGTAACCGTCTCCATTGGTCTCGGTCCTGAGCCAATCGCTTCCAGTCGCCTTGGACGTTCAAGGACCTAATGTCCTCCTCAACTGCACAAAGCCAACGCGTGCGTGGCCTACCCCGAAGCCGACGTCCTCTTCCGGGTTCCCTGCTGAATATTGACTTCGCTTGACGCTCTTCCGGCATTCGTGCCACATGCCCAGCCCACTGTAGCCTGCCGTGTTTTATAAGCTTCACAATATTCATGCCGATATATACTTGGTACAACTCGTGATTCATGCGACGCCGCCAGATGCCATTTTCCAGTTTACCGCCGAGTGTTGTTCGCAGCACTTTACGCTCGAAGACACCGAAAGCTGTCCGATTGGCCTCCTTCAATGCCCACGATTCGTGGCCATAAAGGGCTACCGGCAGAATCAACGTCTTGTACAGCGCGAATTTCGTTTTCGTACGCAAGCTGCGGACTTCAGCCGGCTACGCAACCCGTAGAAAGCCCTGTTCGCGGCTGCAATACGCCTTTTCACCTCGCGGATAACATCATTATCGCACGTCACTAAAGTACCAAGATAAACAAATTCGTCCACAACTTCAAATTTTTCGCCATCTAGCACCACTTCACTACCAACACCACTATTGCTCCCACGCTTTCTACCGGCGACCATGTACTTCGTTTTGGTAGAATTTATCGTGAGACCAATCCTCGCTGTCTCCCTCTTAAAAGGCGCAAACGCCTCTTCCACTGCTCTACGGTCGATTCCGATGATGTTGATGTCGTCCGCAAAACCAAGGAGCATGTGCGACTTTGTGATGATGGTACCGTTCCTCTGCACGCCAGCACTCCTAATCGCTCCTTCGAGGGCGATGTTGAATAGCAAGTTCGAAAGAGCATCTCCCTGCTTCAACCCATCTAAGGTCACGAACGAGGCCGAAATCTCGTCTGCAACTCGTACACATGATTTCGAATCATCCAGCGTTGCACGAATCAGCCTAATTAGTTTCGTCGGAAAACCGTTTTCTTGTATTATCTGCCATAGCTCGTTTCTCTTTACTGAATCGTACGCTGCCTTGAAATCTATGAACAGATGATGAGTCTGCAAGTTGTATTTCCGGAACTTCTCAAGGGTTTGACGCAGGGTAAACATTTGATCCGTCGTTGATCGACCCTCACGAAAACCAGCCTGGTATTCGCCGACGAAGGATTCCTCAAGCGGTCTCAATCTGTTGAACAGAACACGTGATAATATTTTGTACGCCGAATTCAGAAGCGAGATTCCTCTGTAATTGGCGCACTCCAGTCTGTGTCCCTTTTTGTAGAGGGGACAAACGAGACCATCCAACCAACTAGTGGGCAATTCTTCCTCCTCCCATATCTTGAGCAGTATACGGTGGATCATCTGGTGCAGCTGCTCACTTCCGTGTTTGAGAAGTTCGGCCGGGAGCTCGTCCTTCCCCGCAGCCTTACTGTTTTTCAGCTCTCGTATCGCCTTTTTCACCTCTTCTAGCGTTGGTGGTTCCACAGCTTGACCATCGTCGTCGATGTGTGTTCTGTTTGTAGATGCTCTCTCGTTCTCTCCGTTCAGCAACGTCTCGAAGTACTCCTTCCACTTGGCAGCCACCATCGTTTTATGTGTCAGCAGATTACCTTCACGGTCATTGCACATGGCGGGAGACGCCGCTGTCTTACTCCTCACGCCATTGACAGTTGCGTAAAACCTTCGCATATCATTCTGCTCCATACTTTCTTGCGCCGCAGCAATAACGCGTTCCTCGTACTGCCTTTTTTTTCCTACGATGGGTTCGTTTCTCGGCTGACCTTGCTACCCTGTACCGCTCTCTGTTCTGACGGATACCAGACACCAACATCCGGCTTCTGGCGACGTTCTTCTCCTCTGTCACTCGCTGGCACTCCTCGTCAAACCACCCGTTCCGGAGGCGCCTCTGAGCTGTACCTATTACCTCTCGTGCTGTTGTGCTCACCGCTCCGTGGACAGCTTCCCACAGATTCGAGTCGATATTAGGACCCCTGAAGGTCCTGATATCTACGACATCCGAGAAATGCCGACCATCCACCGATCCATCGATCTGGGAGCAAGTTTCGCCATTAGTGTGTCTCCAGGTGTGCTTTCGGATATCATTGCGTGCAAAGTGGGTGTTACTGATGGCCATATCACGAGCAGCAGCGAAGTTTATCAACTTCAGGCCATTATCATTCGTTGCAGAGTGAAGGCTTTCTGTTCCAATGATTGGGCGAAAGAATTCCTCTCTTCCGACCTGCGCGTTTGCATCTCCGATGACAATCTTCACGTCGTGTTTAGGGCACATCATAGGTTTTATCCAGGCTTTCATAAAACGCGTCCTTCACGTCATCGGATTTATCGTTAGTCGGTGCGTAGATGTTGATCAGGCTGTAATTGAAGAATTTGCCACGAGTCCTCAAAACACAGATGCGCTCGCTAACCGGTTTCCACCGCATAATCCGCTTCATCTGTTTCCCAATCACTACGAAACCAACTCCGTGTTCTGCTCTATCGCCACCGCTGTAGTAGATATGGTATTTGAACGATGTGTTGGCGATAGGATCTACCGCCCTGAATTCACGTTCTCCAGATCTAAGCCACCGTACTTCTTGAATAGCAGCCACACTCACATTCACCTTTTGCATTTCACAGGCCAGAAAGCCCACTCGTCCAGGTTCATTTAACGTTCTGACATTCCAAGAACCGAGTTTCCATTCATTGTCCTTATTTCGTTGCCGTTGGGTCAGTTGCCGAAAATTCCGTTTGTTTTTTCTTCTTCTTACTTAATTTTTCTGAGTACTTTTATAATTCAGTATGCTACCGTACCAGGGTTGCGATACCTACCTCGTGTTGATGGGGCTGCCATCTTAGGTTTAGTTGACACGAATCAACATTTCTTGTTTCAGCCGCTGGATGCTAGACAGACGCTGTTTGAGCCGCACCTCCTGGTGGACAGACGCTCGACGATTCGCACCTCTTCAGCCTTGCTATCATCACGATATGGGTTAATCGTGATGACATTGCCCACACCCCGCTACCAGCACATATATGGGCATATACTGGCTGTCATCATCCGACACGTGGAAGCGTGAGGTAGGAGCTTGTGAAGACCAGAGCTATGTTGGACGCTCTGTCCACTGTGGTCCTCACCATTTTGGGGTGAAATTTATCCCAACGTTCCTGCAAACATGGAGTTGTATTTGAAAAGGGTGAAGTTGATGCAGCATATATTACATAAATGTACATAAATTCAGCAATCGACTAAATTTTCAATAGCGACCAAAAATATCCATTAGTACCGTCCCAATAACGCGTTCATATAGATAAAATTGATAATTAGCAGATTTTTAGCGATGGGCCCAATCTTAGATCCATAGGCCAACATCAGAGCCATTTCCCCTATTATGAATTTTCAGTTCAGAATTGATTAAATTTGTGGAAAATATGCATATATTAGATAAAAAAAAAAAACAAATCATTTGAAACCTCTGAATTTAAAAAAATGTTTCAAACACACCGTTGGTACTTGAGCGGTCGGCGTTCATCTCTTTTTGCCAGCGGTGGCAGGGGAAATACCCCTT